TGGGTTAGGCTAAAAGGGGTAAAAAACAAGGGTGATGTCATGCTAGGAGTCTACTACAGGCCACCTAACCAGGTGGAAGAGGTGGATGAGGCTTTTTTTAAACAACTAACAAAATCATCCAAAGCCCAAGATTTGGTGGTGATGGGGGACTTCAACTATCCGGATATATGTTGGGAAAATAACACAGCGGGGCACAGACTATCCAACAAATTCTTGGACTGCATTGCAGACAACTTTTTATTTCAGAAGGTTGAAAAAGCTACTAGGGGTGAAGCTGTTCTAGACTTGATTTTAACAAATAGGGAGGAACTCGTTGAGAATTTGAAAGTAGAAGGCAGCTTGGGTGAAAGTGATCATGAAATCATAGAGTTTGCAATTCTAAGGAAGGATAGAAGGGAGAACAGCAAAATAGAGACAATGGATTTCAGGAAGGCGGATTTTGGTAAGCTCAGAGAGCTGATAGGTAAGGTCCCATGGGAATCAAGACTGAGGGGAAAAACAACTGAGGAGAGCTGGCAGTTTTTCAAAGGGACACTATTAAGGGCCCAAAAGCAAGCTATTCCGCTGGTTAGGAAAGATAGAAAATGTGGCAAAAGACCACCTTGGCTTAACCACGAGATCTTGCATGATCTAAAAAATAAAAAGGAGTCATATAAAAAATGGAAACTAGGACAGATTACAAAGGATGAATATAGGCAAACAACACAGGAATGCAGGGGCAAGATTAGAAAGGCAAAGGCACAAAATGAGCTCAAACTAGCTAAGGGAATAAAGGGGAACAAGAAGACTTTTTATCAATACATTAGAAGCAAGAGGAAGACCAAAGACAGGGTAGGCCCACTGCTTAGTGAAGAGGGAGAAACAGTAACAGGAAACTTGGAAATGGCAGAGATGCTTAATGACTTCTTTGTTTCGGTCTTCACCGAGAAGTCTGAAGGAATGCCTAACCTAGTGAATGCTAATGGGAAGGGGGTAGGTTTAGCAGATAAAATAAAAAAAGAACAAGTTAAAAATCACTTAGAAAAGTTAGATGCCTGCAAGTCACCAGGGCCTGATGAAATGCATCCTAGAATACTCAAGGAGCTAATAGAGGAGGTATCTGAGCCTCTAGCTATTATCTTTGGAAAATCATGGGAGACGGGAGAGATTCCAGAAGACTGGAAAAGGGCAAATATAGTGCCCATCTATAAAAAGGGAAATAAAAACAACTCAGGAAACTACAGACCAGTTAGTTTAACTTCTGTGCCAGGGAAGATAATGGAGCAAGTAATTAAGGAAATCATCTGCAAACACTTGGAAGGTGGTAAGGTGATAGGGAACAGCCAGCATGGATTTGTAAAGAACAAATCATGTCAAACCAATCTGATAGCTTTCTTCGATAGGATAACGAGTCTTGTGGATAAGGGAGAAGCTGTGGATGTGGTATACCTAGACTTTAGTAAGGCATTTGATACGGTCTCGCACGATATTCTTATCGACAAACTAGGCAAATACAATTTAGATGGGGCTACTATAAGGTGGGTGCATAACTGGCTGGATAACCGTACTCAGAGAGTTGTTATTAATGGTTCCCAATCCTGCTGGAAAGGCATAACGAGTGGGGTTCCGCAGGGGTCTGTTTTGGGACCGGCTCTGTTCAATATCTTCATTAACGACTTAGATATTGGTATAGAAAGTACGATTATTAAGTTTGCGGATGATACTAAACTGGGAGGGATTGCAACTGCTTTGGAGGACAGGGTCATAATTCAAAATGATCTGGACAAATTGGAGAAATGGTCTGAGTTAAACAGGATGAAGTTTAACAAAGACAAATGCAAAGTGCTCCACTTAGGAAGAAAAAATCAGTTTCACACATACAGAATGGGAAGAGACTGTCTAGGAAGGAGTACGGCAGAAAGGGATCTAGGGGTTATAGTGGACCACAAGCTAAATATGAGTCAACAGTGTGATGCTGTTGCAAAAAAAGCAAACGTGATTCTGGGATGTATTAACAGGTGTGTTGTGAGCAAGACACGAGAAGTCATTCTTCCGCTCTACTCTGCTCTGGTTAGGCCTCAGCTGGAGTATTGTGTCCAGTTCTGGGCACCGCATTTCAAGAAAGATGTGGAGAAATTGGAAAGGGTCCAGAGAAGAGCAACAAGAATGATTAAAGGTCTTGAGAACATGACCTATGAAGCAAGGCTGAAAGAATTGGGTTTGTTTAGTTTGGAAAAGAGAAGACTGAGAGGGGACATGATAGCAGTTTTCAGGTATCTAAAAGGGTGTCATAAGGAGGAGGGAGAAAACTTGTTCACCTTAGCCTCTGAGGATAGAACAAGAAGCAATGGGCTTAAACTGCAGTAAGGGAGGTCTAGGTTGGACATTAGGAAAAAGTTCCTAACTGTCAGGGTGGTTAAACACTGGAATAAATTGCCTAGGGAGGTTGTGGAATCTCCATCTCTGGAGATATTTAAGAGTAGGTTAGATAAATGTCTATCAGGGATGGTCTAGACAGTATTTGGTCCTGCCATGCGGGCAGGGGACTGGACTCGATGACCTCTCGAGGTCCCTTCCAGTCCTAGAATCTATGAATCTATGAATCTATGAATCTATAAGAAACACCAGAGTCTGCTCAGTGCACTCAAGGGGCAAATCAGCAGTTTTTAGGGAGAAGTTGCTGCTCTTTTCTGTGGAGTTGTTGCTTTTTTATTTAATGGTCATTCAAAACAAACTATGCCCAGATTTAATAATAGGAAGGTCCATTAAAAACCTTGTTTACCTACAGTCTAGTTAATAAATATACTGTTTGATTTCCCACCTATTGTGTCCAGTGTTTGTTTCCTTGGAGCAAGAATTTATCGCTGAATTTATGCTGAAGATTAGTAGCATGCAATGTTTATTGAGCCACATTGCTCAGACTATTAGCTGCCTAGTAAAATCATGTAACTTTAATTTTATGCTAATTTATGATAATTTTGATCATCTTTACATGTAAATTTAGCTTAAAAGTGAAGAATTTGTCATTTAAAATGTATCCCATGCTTCCTTTTTAATGAATGATTTTAAGGAGTTATAAATTCACCTTACAACTACTTTAGTATGGATGATTTCTTCTTTTAAGCATTTGGCATCCTCTAACGACAACCCCTGCAGTGGCAAACCATCTCAAAGTAAATGCAGCTGGCTTGCTGCACAATCATGAATGACGCTGCATTTAGTTATTAATAATTGAAGGAGCTTTGTCTCTTCCTGCTGAGTCCTGTATATAATTCATGGATCATAAACCTACTCCTAAAATCTAGGAAAAATTAAATTTTATTGAGCAAGAGAGGCTGGTGAGAGACTTTATTTGCTAATAACTAGACCTTGTATTTACATGTTTTCCCCAAAATAGTCTAACTAGAAAATTTAGAATGACTAATTAGCCATCTTCCAGCATTGTGGTGGTGTTGGACTTGAAACTCTATTTCCTACTTCAACAGAATAAGATAGATCTTAGACAAAAGTTTTCTTTCACCTCTAGCCATTGTTTGTTCTGTTAGATATATGGAAACTGTGACTTTATGCACAGCTCGTTTCTTTTCTGTATTATAAAAGTTTGTCCCATACTCTTGGGAAATGGATAACACTGTCCTGTTTTCTGTAAAGAAACAAGTTCCGAAAGGCAAGTCCATTCCCTGGAAACCTGAACCACTTCCCCATAATTTACTTGAAATGGAGAGGGGAACAGTAAGTTTGATTTGGCAGGGTGCTATTCCTCTTAACATTCCTTTTGAGAAACCTTTACATTCAGGACACTCTTAGGAAGTCACTTATCCAGCATTGGCTTGAAAGACTGGCAACACTGAATTATGTGAAGGTGGCAAGACTCGATTTTAAAAGCAGTTTATCAAGTGATACTGAAAACAGACTAGTATTTCTCTCGTTAGTAATTAGGAGCCTGTAGAATGAGTCCCGAGCATCTTCCTCTCCCATTTTGCTTAGTGGGAGTTGAGGGCACTGTGCAGGATTAGGCCCTGCTTTAACAGACTTGCTGAATGGAGGACACGTTCTTTTTCCCATGTAAATCAACAGCAGAACTGCCATTGACTTCACTGGTGTGCAAACGGGCTCTAGTGGTTATACGTTTTTCATACTGCAGTAGCACCCAAAGGCCTCAATCAGAATTGGGGTCCCACTGTGCTAAGTACTGTACAGATATATAGGAAGGAAGACATTATCCCAAATGATGCCTTGTAGCACACAAGCACAGTTTTACTTCTTATTACCGTTCTTAAAATATTTTGTCCATCACTTATGTCAATAGATATTAAGATTGACAGTGCTGAGGATGTCCCTCTTCTTTTGATATAGTCAGAATAAATGTTGATTCTCTTTCTTAATGTGTTTATGGTCCAAAAAGTAACACTGAAATGGCACCTGGTTATTGTACATCTCTGCTCACTGTGCCACAGTGCCTAGTCAGACGCCACAGCAGTTTAACTTATTGACAGAACAAGGCGTTCTCTACTGTCAGAATCACATAGCTGGGGAAAACAAACACACATCTGTCTCCAAACCTGCTAGCAAGTTTCTGATTCCAGCCTTTGGTAGTACTGATATATAAAGGAAAGGAGGAGTTAAATTTCCAGGTCACCGAACTGTCATTTCTATCTGTTTGAAAAATAGGGGTGTGATTTTGTTTGTTTGTTTATAAACATAAATTAGATAGTTTTATTGATGAAGGATAAATATGAACTGTCGGAATGTCAATTTTTGTGACTGTACCACTCACTCCTGTCAGTCTGTTTTGAATTGTTGTATTTTATGTATGAGGCCCAATACAAAGATGATTGAATTTGATAGAAAAGCTCCCACTGATTGAGTTTTGGGGCTTTGGATCAGGCATAGAATGATGGTTACTTTTGGTAGCCATATTGATCAGTTATCTGTCCATTGACTCCATGATGGTTGCATTTCACCTTCGAGCAGCATTATGTGTACATGGTTTCTAAGGATATTTCATATCATTTTAACAGGAATGGACTAGCAAACTGCCGGATGAGGACAGAAAGTGAACAGTCGTGTGGCTCTCCAGTCGTTAGTGGGGACCCAAAGGAGGATCACAACTATAGCAGTGCCAAATCTTCCAACCACAGGAGCACTTCACCTGCTAGTGACTCTGTTTCCTCTTCCTCTGCTGATGACCATTATGAATTTGCTACTAAAGGCAGCCAAGACAGCAGCGAAGGGAGTGAAGTTAGCTTCCAGAGCCACGAGAGCCATAGTGAAACGGAAGAGGAGGACAAAAAGCAAAACCGAAAGGAGACCAAGGACTCTTTAGCTGACAGCGGGTATGCATCCCAGCACAAGAAAAGGCAACATTTACTGAAGGTGAAAAAAGTACCAAGTGACACGCTGCCTCTTAAAAAGAGACGTACGGAAAAGCCCCCCGAGAGTGACGATGAGGAGATGAAAGAAGCAGCTGGATCACTCCTGCATTTAGCGGGAATTCGGTCCTGTTTGAATAACATCACCAATCGGACGGCAAAGGGGCAGAAAGAGCAAAAGGAAACCACAAAAAATTAGAACAAATCATTGATTTGTTTGAACTTACAAAATTTTGTTTCAGCACGTCAGGTGAATTCTAATGATTTGTGGCAATATCAGCATTTTTTGTTTTGTTTTTGTTTTTTGTTTTTTTCTTTTTTTGGACCCTTAAGATTTTTATTTTTAAAGGAGATTGAAGCCATAGAACTCATACTGACACTCAGCTAATTTACAAAAGCTTTTCATTACCTGAAGACACAAAGTAAAAAAGCCAAAATCACCATTGCTTTCTCCAGCTTGTCAGAAATGCATGGTTGAATACGCAGTGACATCAACATTATTGTGATGGGAGTACAATTCGGCCCTTGGAAATCCCTCTGATACCTAGAAGAGATGTGCATAATTCAGTAATCATTCAGGCCTGGCCCTTAGGTTAAAAAAAAATGGCCTTACAATTGGGTTTATAAGTGAATGTTAATAAAGAGATTTGGAGGAGGCATGGAGTCCTTAACACCAAACCAAGAACCGGTGGCAGTTGGATACAGTTGTGCCATAGAAGTCTTTGGACAGCCACTGGAGGCAATTGCGCATACAGTAATGCATTATTAGTGCTCCCTGTACTATATGTGGCTCATAATGTGAAGACTGTTAACTTTAAGTTGTGGAAAATTTGAACTGTGTATGCAACGGGTTTCAGTGAAATAATGAGAAGAAATGGTTGGGGGGGGGGAGAGGGAATTGTTAATGGTATTGTTAATCATTGAATTCTGTCTTCTATATTAAATTAAAAGAATGTTCAAAAAGCCATAAGCCTGAAGATTGGCACTGCGTGCAAAAAATAATAATAATAATAATAATAATATGGAAAACAAGCTATGTCTTCTAAACTGCCTGAGTGAAAAGCAATCAAGTCTAAGAAATTACAGTAGATATTACGGAAGTAAGTAAATCAGAATATTTTTCTGTGGATCAAAAATATTTGGTCTAACTGGGGAAAAAATGCTACAAAACCTGCCATTAGTATTATGCTGTATTTAAAACAAAAAACCAGAAACAAAAAAAGCATATTGATGGACAAGAAAATAGAGTACAACAAAGAGCTCCTATACTGCCCTCAAAATTGAGTATGCAGTTAATGTCAGTCAGGATTCATCTGTGCAAAAACATCAGATTTCCAGATTCAACTAGCGTAGCCAGCAGAAAATTCTGATCCACATTGCATGGATTTGGGGGAGGGGAAATTAAAAACAACAACAACTTTTTTTTTTTAATTCAAAGATAACAAAGTTCTTGTAAGGTAAATAATGTATTTAGCATGAAGCATGAATTATTTTCATATAAATATAGAAAATAGAGAAAAAGGCTATGCCTCTAATTTTTAAGCCCTTAGGCTTAGAGTCTGTTTTATTTTTGTTTTGTTTTTTTGTTTGTTTTTTGTTTTGTTTTGTTTTTTTGAAGCAGGTGTTTAAGGTTTAACCTTCTTCAGGGACAAACACTGACTGTTGGGGAACTTACTCTGCAATATTAAAAATATCTTCACACTCTGGTAGGGCTTGGATGGTTGAATTATACTGCCTTGTCTGCACATTCAGCCCCCTCTCCCTACTTCTGTTTAAAAAAAAAAAAAAAAAAGTATGTCCTTTCTCTGCCTGTACATGTGTAACATGATGCAATAATTTGAGGGCAAATCTAGTAGTGAGTGTGTATGATAGAATCAAGAGAATAATGGGAGCTTAATTGAGGAAAATAATTCGGATTTGGTTCAGGGATAGGTATGTCAGTGAATAGCTTTGCTAATTTGCCATGAAAAGAAATGAAGTTAGTAAAGAGCCTTATTGATGGTGATCAGAGATATAGCACAGGGTTAAAGGAAGCGATTCAGGTATAGTTGTGCTACTCTCCTGAAAATGTTGATAATTAGATTGGAATTCCCTGGAAGTGGGGGGGAAGCTGTGAAGAAAATACAATCTCTCCCACCCCAATTTGTGAATTTGGCATTGAAATCATCTACACTAAGAAAATCCGAGAGGCAAAAGGAACATTACAGGGACTGAAAATCCCTATAATTTCATAAAGTAAAATTATCTGTCTTCTTTAAAAACTTGAGGCCACCATATTTATCCTTGGTGTAGCTGTTTTAATCCACAGAGTTACATGAGGAGGGAGGATAGCCCATGAACGGGAAGCTGTAGAGGGATATGATCGCCCACTCAGTGGAGTAAAATAAAAATTGCACCATGAGGCATTTGGGTTTTTCATTTGGTTTAGGAAGTGGAAGGATTGTGCAGTGGATTACTATGGTCTGTCAATATTGCTCTGCTCAATGGGTGTTCTGTTGTATAGAAAACATACTACAGCACAAGGGTGCAGCACCAAAATTTATTTCTTTTCTTCTGATTTGCCTAAGTGTGTATCAGGACCCAAGACCCTGATTATATTGTGAATTGAATAGTAGTCCATGGGCTGGATGAGTCTGGGAGAACTTCAAGCAGCGTAGATTCAGATGGTGGGAGACAAAGATGGTTTAACCCTTGCACTCAAGGTGATCTGGGTCCACTGGGTGCAGGGTTGGTCCCCAGGTGTAAGTTAGAACCCTACCGACTGCTGCTGTCACGTACACTGGTTACCAGCAGCCCTGAGAAGCAAAAACCCATAGCTTAGGGGTCAGTGCAGCATAGAGGTGCATCAGCCATATTGCTTCCTCTGGGTAGAGTCCCTTCATGACTGCACTGGGGTCCTTCTCCTGTTGGCGGATATGCCAGCTCTGCAGCCAGAATCCACTGATAGTGCCACACAACAACTGCACCAGAAAATCTGGCCTCTTGTGTTTCATGGTCTTCTGGGAAGAGTAACTGCAAATGAAAATGCATTAACGTACCCCAAAAGCCATTGTAATACACGCTTGTGCATATGTTGTTCCATCCCACCAGTCTGATTAACATTAAATACAATTAAGAGTAAAATTTAGTGGCGTCAAGTAAATTTGAAGCAATGGCTTACTCCCCACCTTCACCAGAGAAAATGACATGGTGACATACTAGTGGGCAAAAACTGCTCTCAGTCACAAAACTAATTCCAGAGTAACTTTACTGACTAGAATAGTTACTCCAGACTTACACCAGTATAACCTGAGATAAGTATCTGTTCCATAAGTACTATTTTCTAATTTGGCTACTTGATTAAATATGTATTTATCACTAGTGTTATCCACCCAAGAAAACAGTCTTGTACATAAATACCTAATTAGGCAGGTTGTCTTAAAATACATTATTTCTGTAAGACTTCAATAACTCCTTTATGGACTTGCTGGTATAGTTAAATATTGGCAGGTGCAATTTGTAGCTTCTAGGCTGGCCTACTGGGAAGATGTCAATAGGCTGTGTTTTATAAAATACTTTCAGGACCCATTAAAAGAGAGGAACCAGAAGTTTGGTTATGTACTAATGCCCTCTGTAGACTATTCAAGAAGGGCATAAAGTATATGTGATTTAAAACAATCTATTGTTTTAAGTTTAAACAATATTTTGTCCAGAATTCCTATACTTATAACTGGTGACATTCAGTACATAACTACAGATTGGTATGTTTAAAAAAAAAAAAAAAAAAAATACTTGCAAGCCACCTTTTAAAACATGCGATTTGTGCCTGATTGAGCACAGTAACTTCTTCGGAATTGGACTTGGTTCCATCAGTTAAATATTCATTTATCTACATAGGTGTGTTCTTTGTACATTGGATTGGAAGGACTGTTTAAGGTCTGTCCAGTCTATTATGTAACCAAACATTATAGAACCAATACAATGCATGTTCGTAAATACTTTCAAGAATTAAATAAATAAATAAATAAATAAAAATACATTGCCAACGCCTCAGTGCAATTGTCACTATTCTTAAAATCCTGCCAAAACTAACTGGTAATTGGATCATATTATGGACTTCAGCATTTGCCAGACTTTTTTTCTGACAAAGCCATTTTTGAGGAAGAACTCCTAAAATCTCTAAACATCTATTTTTCCCCACTCTAGTATTTTAAAAAAATCTTTCAAAATTAATATTCCTCAAAGCTGGTATGAAAAAGATATTAGGGCAGCAGACTATCAATGGCAAGTTACAGACCTGAGAAGATTTTTTTAGGGGTGGTTTATAATTAACAAACAAATCCTTACATTTTACAATGTTCATTTTGGAGGGAGAAACATTTGTAAGCCAGAGCTAATGCCACAAATAGATTCTGTTAAAGTCTGCAGGTGTAAAGGAATCAACCATTCATTGCTTGTGTGCTGCAAAATATTTGATGTTCTTTTGTAAAATCATTTTGATGAAGTTTTGCCTTTTAAAAATGCTAAGCACAGGTCTTGAGCAGCTTTGCTATTTCATCAAATGTATCTTCCTAAAAATGAAGCTTGATTGTGATCTCACAAGTGTTGAAACCAGGAGTAACTCCAGGGGTATCACTGGAGTTAAAACCAGGGTTGGTGAGATGAGACACACACCCCTTTAGCTCTAGAAAATCAGCCTGTGAGCCCAATTCTCCTCATCCATGGGTTACATACTAGTGTGTAATTCGACTGATGTCCTTGGAGTTACTCCTGATTTATACTAGTGGGAGAAGAAAATCCCTAAACACACACACTGGTCTTTTACATTTGACTGAATTACTGCCTCGCTTTGAAAACTATGGACCAAATTCCCTACTTATTTGGACTCAGTAGAGCTATAATGGAGTTATGTCAATTTTCATAAGCAGATAATTTGGTCCTAAATCATCACCAAATGGTGCCATGGGTGAAATTTCTAAAAACGCCTAAGCCAAGAGTGACCTCTTGAGTTTGAGAGAGAGGCTCCTAAGTCACTAAGGGCCAAATTTGTAAAGGTATTTAGGTGCCTAAAGGTGCATATTGACACCTGCCTAGTGGGATTTTCAAATATGCCTGGATGTTTTACTGCCTTTGAAATCAATGGGAGTTAGTTGCTTAGGGCTTTAAATTCCACTAGGCAGGTACCTGGGTATCTTCACCTTTAGGCACCTGCACGCGTTTACAAATCTGGCCCTCTGTGGTTTTGAAAAATGTAACCCCATGAACTCTAGGTTCATAATAAAAGTGTGGAAAACACGTTCACAATTTCAGATACAAATGCAATTCACCTCATTAAGCAAGTAAATCAGCTGGGTCACAGCCGCCCAGGATATTTTTATTTTATTTTATTTAGAAAAGGTTGTTTTTAAAAAATATCTATCTATCTATCTATCTATCTTCTTGACTTTGCCAGCAAAAGAGCATTTGAACCATACATCCTCTTGATTGTAACAGAGTATCAGTGTTGACAGTCTGACCAGTTAAGTCTTTAGTGTTGTTCTTCACAGCCCTCCAGTAATATATCAAACACTGTTATGCACATAATGCAGCACTGTGATCTAATTTAAATAATACTTTTTTATTATTTATACTACTCTATGTAATATACATCAACACTTTGCTATATAACCTAAGTGATAACCCTCTTCTTAGTTATCTGCCAAACTTTGAACTTCTGTTTGGTTTATATTGCAGTTAACGCAGTTACAAAGTTGTAATTATGTCTTTTTCCTTTGAATCAGAATGTGTAAATCAAACTGTATACATCTTGTGTGTTTCTATTTTGAGATGGAGTTTGAGGATTTACACATAACATTTAGTGTTCTGTATAAATCTGCATACCGTTGTGAAATCATCTGTTAATCCCCTTTTCTTTAGGAAGTATTAATTGACAGTGGTTTATTAGGGTTTTTTGTTTTTACTTTATTTCTAATACTGGTTATTCTTGAATTAAGCACAGACTTGTCAGCTGGGTTGCTTTATCATTGATAGTGTATATGACCTTATAATTCTTCCACAGTTCAGCAAACAAGTACTAGCTTCACTGACCAAAAAAAAAAAAAAGAAAAAAAATTCTCAACCTGATGTGTCTATGGTGCTGTATTTTGCTGGTGTACATTTAAAATCAGAAATGAGTTAACAAAGGTCACTTCTGAGTTGTTGTGCTAAACGAGTAGCCTTTCCTCTTTTCTGTTAGCATTGAAACAAAGAGTATTTATCTGAAAATATATAATTGTTTTTTTCTACTGTATCACATTTGCAATGAGTATAGCATGGGATTTCTATTCCTTTTGTAAAGAGGGTGAAATTCGCCCAGGGCCTGATCCAAAGCCTATTTGAAATTAATGGGAGTGTTTTTTCAGTTATCTTCAGTGGGCTTTGGATCAGACCACCAGCGTTGAAGACCCACCACTTAAGCCCAAGATTAAAGATTTAAGTGATGCAAAAGGCCTTGAGCTGGCATTCAACACTAGGGTGGATTTCACCTAAAGTTGATATTTCATATTGGATATTCAGATGCTAATATGGATAATATATCATAGCTAGAAATTGGACTCCATCCTTCCATTACTGTGGCCTGAAATCCCAATACCGATTTTTTTCTAGTTCAGATAAGCCTGAAATTTAGTGCATTTTTAAGTTAATTGAACATTGTACATTTCCTGAGTATGTGTGTGGGACAACAATTAAAAGTAATACCTGCATTTGATAACCAATTCCATGCCTGCATCATTCACACTCACTACTTAAAACTGCCATCGTGTAAAATGTTGGGGGAATGACTTGTGTGTGTATGAAAAAGCATTATAAACTTGTACATTTTTTTATACTCTGATTCTGTAATATTTCTGAAATATTTTGTTTTACAGAAAAAAGTGATAAAGCAATCAAAAGACCAAGCGGTTTAATATCAATGCTTAAGGGTCACATGACCTTAACTGGCCAATAAGTTAATTTAGTACAGTAATAAGCCAATTTTTTTTTTTTTTTTTTTTTGCTGTACTTGGCGTATGAAACTGCCAATTTCATGAATATTGAAATAAGAACTGTGATGGGGGAATAAACAGTGATGTTAAGTTGTATTTGTGTTTACCTAAATGAGCAGTCCGAAGGCAAGTGCAATCAGCCAATCTTTAGGAAATATGAAAGTGTTGATTTAGAAGCATACTTGCATTTTACATTTTCTTGATGTGTAATCATATTGCCAAAGACAAACTATTTCATCAATTATTATTGTAAATAACACTTTCCCAAAACCTACCATAAAGTTTCTGTGATGTATTGTCTTCCAGTTGCAATAAAAATTACTGAGTTGCATCAATTGAATAATTGTAGTTTTGTGTATACTTGCTTGAAAATACATTTAAATATTAAGTAATAGTCAATATTTTTAAAACACTAATTGCTGTATGATTTCTATTTGTTTTTATTCAATTTGAGTTACGTTTTATACCCACGGTATGATCTCTCTTGCACATTCACTGCACTAGGTGCCAATGCATTGCTCATGTGCAATTGAATAAATAGGATAAAGGAAATAGGATTTCACTAGGAGGAGGATGAAGCACTGGAATGGGTTTCCTAGGGAGGTGGTGGAATCTCCATCCTTAGAGGTTTTTAAGGGCCAGCTTGACAAAGCCCTGGCTGGGATGATTTAGTTGGGGATTGGTCCTGCTTTGAGCAGGAGGTTGGTGAGGTTTCTTCCAATCCTAATCTTCTATGATTTTATGATACAGAATTTTTCATCTTGCTAAAAGGATTGTGTGCCTGATTCTCTTCTCATATCAGTTTTACCTGGATATAACTTACTTCATTGGAATTACTCCTGTTTTATATCCAGCATAAACCAGAGAAGAATCCCAGACATGTATATCAGATGATACTGTGTTATCAAGAATATTTCCTTCTAAGTGGTACATTTGCCGTTCTTGGGCCAGAGTCTGAGCTCAGTTACACCAGTGCAAATCCCAAGTCAATTCATTGACCCATCTTGCTGTTTCTAGGACTCCTACTGTAAGCAAATGCAGATAAACCACTCAAGCAAAGATGTTCAAAAATTGGTACCTAAACTAGATTGCCAAATCCATAGTTAGGCAGGTATTAGGTGGCCTTATTTTCAAAAGCACTGAGCCTCCAGTGGCTCCCTTTGAGTTCAGTGGGAATAGGTGCTGCTATTTGGTGAGAACTCTTGACAATCAGGGCTTAATTTGGAGTTAGAAATCTGGCCCACGCATTCATTTTGAAAATCTTGGCCTCAGTCTTTTGTTTAGCAACTGAACAGTGAAGGGTAAACAGTGCTGTTACCCTATTACAGCCAATCCGAATGGTAAAATCCTATTCATAAAATTATTATTGGAGCATTCTCCATTTTGAAAATGCCATATTTCCACAAGCGGCCCTAAATATATGTATAGATTGAGCTTCTAAAAGATAAAAACCACCCCATTCTTCAGCAAGCCCAATATCTGTTCCACAGCCAGTTTTCAAAGATATTGTTAAAACTGGAGGGGTGAACTTCCCTGCTGTTCAGCGAGGACATATGGCTACTTACACCGTGGCCCCCAGCTGTCCTGAAGCCTTTATATAAACATCCTTTTTCATAATAGACCTTTCTTAACGTATGTTCTTAGTGGTTGGTATTAGATACCACTGTGATAGGCATCTGGATCTGATGGATGTGGACAGGTATTGCGGGAAGAGGGGGAAACAAACTTCCTGGATATACACAAAAAGCATGAAAATGCCCCAGGCCAATAACTGTCTGGGCAATTGATACTTTAATGTACTGCCTGAAAATGCTTCATTTTGTAACCTATCAGTATTCAGGACTATTGTAATAGAATGGAGAAAGGAAAAACCCATAGACAAGGAGACGAGATGAAAGGAGCTCAGTGAGAAGGAAAAAACACTTAACTGTGCTCTGGTCTTTCTTCCTCTAATGGATCCCCCCCTCCCATGCACTGTATACGAAGCAAATATTCAGCAGCATGTTGTGCAGATAGATCAGTAGTGACATGCATGCAGGAAAAGGGAGACCAGCAGATTTTTCAGTTCTTGAAAGGAAACCTGTTTCACTACTTGCTGGCATTCCTTCCTGCAAGAGAGAGAACTCTTGGGGAGTCGTCTCTGGACAAGAAATACTAAGTGTGTCTGCCACTGGCACACACATGTTTCAGTCTCTGCTACCCATCAAAAGGGGGAGAGGATGGTTTTGAGGTTTGCCTCAGAAGGGAAGTGGATTCCCTATAGGAAGAAAGTCAGGAACAGGCTAGTTTAGGCACTGGATTGAAGATGTTCAGTTCCCAGCTCGACTGCACACTTCCTGTGCAACCTTGAGCAAGTGATTTAATCTCTCTGTCTCATCTGTAAATGGGAACCATGCCTCCCTATTTCACAGTGGTACTGAGGGTAAATTCATTAATATTTGTGAAGCACTCAGATTCTGTGATGGTGACCATACAAGTACATAGCTAGATAGCAGACATCATGCTTTGGGGATAAAGGAGAGGAAAAGCCAGGATACACTTGTACTTTCATTAAAAAAAAAACCACACAATTATATTAGCTGCTCACTTGGTTACAAGCCAGACTTTTCCCAAGAGTAAACAAGTCACATTGAGAACCAACACTTTAGATGGGCTTCGTCAGTGAGTGCTCAATTTTTAGTGTCATAAAGGGTCTTCCCTGACACATGCAAGTTTTATATTGTGGAATTAACTTTTCAGTAAAGCTGAAGCTGGTAGCATTTTCCAGGAGAGTCTTACCCCATTCTTTTGTATAGAGAAGAAGCTTAATACACTTTTTGCCAGACACAGGTAATGTTGTTTGGCTTTGTTATTTAGCATTTAACTCTTAAGGTACCTCAATGCTTTATAAAGTTCAATGTCTTTTTATAGACCAAAGTTGTGGCTGTAATAAGGGGCAGCCAGAACCAGGAGAATGGGGAGAGATTCTGGATCCTTTTTTGGGGGTAACAAAATAGCAGATAAGAGCTGCAGTAAAAGAATAAAAAACAAAAAAGACAGTGCCCCTCTGGAGGAACAGCAGGGGTGA